GACAACAATATTTTTTAATCCAGTGCAGAATGAGAGGGTGTTCATATTTTATAAAAACAGGCTTTATTCTTTTCCATTGTCTCATAAACACACTCTCTCACACACAAATGTCGCTTTACAGTCTCTGCTTTTTCCCTCAATCATTATCCATGCAGGAAAGACTATATTTAAAGCCTTTGTGATGTAACTTTATAGGATAATGACAGTATCGTCTGTCTGTTTACAGCAGTTTTCCCCCCTGTGCTCCTTTTGCCCGCAAAACACCCAAGAGCAAATCAAGAAACGTGGCTTGGTTTGATTAAATGTTTATTTGTTCGCTCTCGGTTTAGGCAACAGCACCGCACCACTCCTGTTCTGGACTAAAGATTCTGGGAATTTTGGAAGTGGGATTTGTTTTTAATTTAGAAAAGTGTGTGGTTATAAACATCTCCTCTCATGCTAAATGATGTCATTTACTATACACAATGCTGGGTTCCACACAATTCCTTCATGTTGTCCTAACCTAAATCGATAAGGTTAAATTGTTAAGTACACAATAAAAAGAGTATATTGTTTGAGCTACATATTTAAATTGAGCAGAAGGTCTAAGTATTTCAGAAACTGCTGATCTACTGGGATTTTCACGCACAACCATCAATAGGGTTTACAGAGAATGGTCTGAAAAAGAGGAAATATCCAGTGAGCGGCAGTTCTGTGGGCGCAAATGCCTTGTTGATGCCAGAGGTCAGAGGAGAATGGCCAGACTGGTTCCAGCTGATAGAAAGGCAACAGTAACTCAAATAAGCACTCGTTACAACCGAGGTCTGCAGAAGAGCATCTCTGAACACACAACACGTCCAACCTTGAGGCGGATGGGCTACAGCAGCAGAAGACCACACCGGGTGCCGCTCCTGTCAGCTAAGAACAGGAAACTGAGGCTACAATTCACACAGACTCACCAAAACTGGACAATAGAAGATTGGAGAAACGTTTCCTGAGTCTCGGTTTCTGCTGCCACATTCAGATCGTAAGGTCAGAATTTGCTGTAAACAACATGAAAGCATGGATCCATCCTGCCTTGTATCAATGGTTCACGTTGCTGGTGGTGGTGTAATGGTGTTGTGGATATTTTCTTGGCACGCTTTGTGCCCATTAGTACCAATTGAACATCGTGTCAATGCCACAGCCTACCTGAGTATTGTTGCTGACCATGTCCATCCCTTTATGACCACAGTGTCTCCATCTTCTGATTTCTACTTCCAGCAGGATAACACACCATGTCATAAAGCGTGAATCATCTCAGACTGGTTTCTTGAACATGACAATGAGTTCACTGTACTCAGATGGCCTCCACAGTCAACAGAGCTCAATCCAATATAGCACCTTTGGGATGTGGTGGAACAGGAGATTCACATCATGGATGTGCAGCCGACAAATCTGCAGCAACTGTGTGATGCTATCATGTCAATATGGAGCAAAATCTCTGAGGAATATTTCCAGTAGCTTGTTGAATCTATGCCATGAAGGATTAAGGCAGTTCTGAAGGCAAAAAAGGGGTCCAACCCGGTACTAGGAAGGTGTACCTAATAAAGTGGCCGCAGAGTGTATATATCCAACTGGAAGTTTAAAAAATCTGTTGAAATAACACAATTATTAAGGTTTTTTGAGGAAGACATCTTAATTGTTTTATGTTCAGTCCACTTCAGTTTGGAAAAAATGATTAACTCGATTTGTTTTGGGATAACATAAAAGAATTGTGTGGAACCCAGCATACATTTTTTCAGTGTAGTAACATTTGTGAACTGAACATAAAACGTTTAAGTTGTCCCTAAAAAACATTGTGTTGGTTGGGTTTATTTTTAAATGGGTAGTTTCGTCAAGCAGCATCAATACTTCTTTGAGTGTTGGTTTGAATGCAGATGTTAAATAGGACTTAATTGTGTTTTCTTTTTCCACTTCTTATTATCAAAGGATATTATCAAATATGCACAGTTACAAAAGTGTTAGTATATCATCATAATTATGAGTTTAAAAATTAATATTTGATCTAGAAGTCAGAATGGTTAGATGATCACAGTTTTGGCTTAAAAAGTCTGCGGGTTCAGATGGGCAGCTGGAAGAGTGTGGCCATGTCCGGTCCCAGTCTGGACACCAGACCAGCTCAAACCACCTCCACCCTGTCCTCCTCACATTCCATTAAACTCTGCAGAAGAGCCTAAATGTGTGTTTTTTTTTTTTTTTTGGCCATTTGGATTCATGTTTCTGTGGACAAATTCATTCTTCTTTGAACACTCTTGTGTAACTTATTTTTAAATAAATTAAAAGGTAGCCTAATTTTACTATCCACAGACTGTCCTGTTTGACCGCATAATATGACCAGGCAACATCTTGATAGTTATTCAACAAGACTTGTTTGTAATATGTTTGAAAGCAGCGCCACCTGGTGAGTAAATCAAACATCACAGTCAAAGTGTTCATTTAGGTTCTAGATACTATTCTGACAGTTTATGTAGTTTGAAGTGTTCGAGTGGATCCTAATTTAGCAGTTTTGTATTTTTTAGTTTAAAATGTTAATTTATGTTTTATTCTATCACTTTTTGTAGTTTAAAGTGTTCATTTAGATCCTATTCTGACAGTTTTAGTAGTCTAAAGTGTTCATTCAGTCATTCATTCATTTTCTTTTTGGCTTAGTCCCTTTATTGATCCGGGGTTTGTCACAGTGGAATAAACGGCAAACTTATCCAGCACATGTTTTTTACGCAGCAGATGCCCTTCCAGCCGCAAATGGGAAACATCCATACATGCTCATTCACACTCATACACTACGGACAATTTAGCCTATATTGACCTGTACCTCTTTGGACTGTGGGGGAAACCAGAGCACCCGGGGAAAACCCACGCGAACGCAGGGAGAACATGCAAACTCTACACAGAAATGCCAACTGATCCAACCGAGGCTCGAACCTGCGACCTTCTTGCTGTGAGGCGACAGCACTACCTACTGCGCCACTGCGTCGCCCCTCTAAAGTCTTCACTTAAATCCTATTCTGAAAGTTTTAGAAGTCTAAAGTGTTTGTTTTGATTGTATTCCAAAAGTTTTTGTAGTTTAAAATGTTGTTTTGGATCCCAATTTAGCAGGTTAGTAGTCAAAAGTGTTCATTTGGATCCTATTCTGACGTTTCTTTTAGTCTAAAGGGTTGATTTGGATCCTATTCTGACAGTTTTTGCAGTCTAAAGTGTTGATTTGGATCCTATTCTGACAGTTTTTGCAGTCTAAAGTGTTGATTTGGATCCTATTCTGACATTTTTTGCAGTCTAAAGTGTTGATTTGGATCCTATTCTGACAGTTTTTGCAGTCTAAAGTGTTCATTTGGATCCTATTATGACAGTTTTTGCAGTCTAAAGTCTTCACTTAAATCCTATTCTGAGAGTTTTAGAAGTCTAAAGTGTTTGTTTTGATTGTATTACAAAAGTTTTTGTAGTTTAAAATGTTGTTTTGGATCCCAATTTAGCAGGTTAGTAGTCAAAAGTGTTCATTTGGATCCTATTCTGACGTTTCTTTTAGTCTAAAGGGTTGATTTGGATCCTATTCTGACAGTTTTTGCAGTCTAAAGTGTTGATTTGGATCCTATTCTGACAGTTTTTGCAGTCTAAAGTGTTGATTTGGATCCTATTCTGACATTTTTTGCAGTCTAAAGTGTTGATTTGGATCCTATTCTGACAGTTTTTGCAGTCTAAAGTGTTCATTTGGATCCTATTATGACAGTTTTTGCAGTCTAAAGTCTTCACTTAAATCCTATTCTGAGAGTTTTAGAAGTCTAAAGTGTTTGTTTTGATTGTATTACAAAAGTTTTTGTAGTTTAAAATGTTGTTTTGGATCCCAATTTAGCAGGTTAGTAGTCAAAAGTGTTCATTTGGATCCTATTCTGACGTTTCTTTTAGTCTAAAGGGTTGATTTGGATCCTATTCTGACAGTTTTTGCAGTCTAAAGGGTTGATTTGGATCCTATTCTGACAGTTTTTGCAGTCTAAAGTGTTGATTTGGATCCTATTCTGACAGTTTTTGCAGTCTAAAGTGTTGATTTGGATCCTATTCTGACATTTTTTGCAGTCTAAAGTGTTGATTTGGATCCTATTCTGACAGTTTTTGCAGTCTAAAGTGTTCATTTGGATCCTATTATGACAGTTTTTGCAGTCTAAAGTCTTCACTTAAATCCTATTCTGAGAGTTTTAGAAGTCTAAAGTGTTTGTTTTGATTGTATTACAAAAGTTTTTGTAGTTTAAAATGTTGTTTTGGATCCCAATTTAGCAGGTTAGTAGTCTAAAGTGTTCATTTGGATTCTATTCTGACAGTTTTTGTAGTCTAAAGTGTTCATGCGGATCCCATTTTAGCAGTTTTGTATTTCTAGTTTATAGTGTTCATAAAGTAATTCATTTGGTTCCTATTCTGACAGTTTTTGTAGTCTAAAGTGTTTATTTGGATCCTATTCTGACATTTCTTTTAGTCTAAAGTGTTCATTTGGATCCTATTCTGACAGTTTTTGCAGTCTAAAGTGTTGATTTGGATCATATTCTGACAGTTTTTTTAGTCTAAAGGGTTGATTTGGATCATATTCTGACAGTTTTTTTAGTCTAAAGGGTTGATTTGGATCCTATTCTGACAGTTTTTTTTAGTCTAAAGGGTTGATTTGGATCCTATTCTGACGGTTTTTGCAGTCTAAAGTGTTCATTTGGATCATATTCTGACAGTTTTTTTAGTCTAAAGTCTTCATTTGGATCATATTCTGACAGTTTTTTAGTCTAAAGGGTTGATTTGGATCATATTCTGACAGTTTTTTTAGTCTAAAGTGTTAATTTGGATCATATTCTGACAGTTTTTGCAGTCTAAAGTGTTGATTTGGATCCTATTGTGACAGTTTTTGTAGTTTAAAGTCTTAATTTAGATCCTATTCTGTTTTTGTATGGATGCCATTGATCAGATCATAGACGCATTAATTCAATAAATCAGTAATACAACACAAGGCAGCTTTAAAACTTTATTTCTATCCAAGCACATCCAACTATACAACCAACATGAACAAAGTTAGCCCTTCTTAATGTATAATATTTCCCATGACCAGCACAGAAAACATCTCAACCACATCCAGAAAACTGCATTATTCTTCTCTCACTCTTATCTTTCTCTCTCGTTCATTCTTTACTTTCAAACTCAGACCACAAGAAACAACAGTAAACTATATAAATTACATTTGGTAGGAAAAAATAAATTATATTCAGTGTACACTAATAAATACTCCTGCCCTGCCGCTTCAAGTTGGTTTCTTCTTTTGTTTTCCAGCATTTCTCGATATCCTGCACACTTGCATGAAGGTCCAAATAAACCAAAACATAATGCAATAAATATGAACAATCTAAAACAGTTTAATGGCATGAATATTCAATGCAATGCAATTAGTACTTGGATTTTGTGATACTAAGCAAAGATTACTGTTAAAACACTACTGTTTTAATGCACTTGTCATTGAATCTTCTCTTAGGACTCTTAAGGACTTCCCACGATGGAGCGTTTTCTGGCGAACAGGTGAGTCTGGTCTCTGTTGTACATGTTTGGCTGGATCTTGAACATTGGGGGCCAGCGGAAGCCGGTTTGACTCTCAGTCCCAGAAGGCTCGGCGGCTGCGGGTTCGGATGAGCAGGGTTTGTTTTGAAGCAGCTGGAAGAGTGTGGCCATATCCGGTCCCAGTCTGGACACCAGACCAGCTCGAACCACCTCCACTGTGTCCTCCTCGCACTCCATTAAACTCTGCAGAAGTGTGCTGTAATACCTAACACAAAAAAACACAATCATTGTCTAAACCAGGGGTGTCCAAACTCAGTCCTGGAGGGCCGGTGTCCTGCATATTTTAGTTCCAACCCCAATTCAACACACCTGAACCAGCTAATCAGACTCTTTCTGAGTATACAAGAAACTTCCAGGGAGGTGTGTAGAAGGAAGTTGCAGTTAAACTATGCAGGACACCGGCCCTCTAGGACCGAGTTTGCACACCCATGGTCTGAACTGTACTGTTCTGTCATAAATTACAGTTACACATTTGGCTTTTTTTGCAAAAGGTGTATATTTATTTTATCGCATTAACGCACAGAGAAGACAAAATGATTATTTTATTTAAAATTTAAGACGTCTTTCATGCGGAGAATAAAGTCACATGCATTGCTCAGGTGTGAGTTTCTCACAGACGTCAACGGAGTGTCATAATCTTAATGCTTCCGTGGGTCTCGTCTATCAAATCTGAGCTTTATTCTGTATTCTCTATTGGATTCAGATCAGGTGATTGGCTGGGCCATTCTACAGCTTGATTTTCTTTCACTGAAAGCATTTAGGAGTCTCTTTGGCTGTGTTTTGGATCATTGTCTTGCTGAAATGTCCACCCTGGTTTCATCTTCATCCTCCTGCTAATGTAGATGTTGGACTGAAGCAGCTGATATTCATTTACACTGAGGTAGAGCAGAGGCTTGCTGAAGACCTACTGAGAGATTTCAGCTGCTGTCTGGGCTTTCACTGCCCAACTACACCCCCCTTTCCTCGTGTGTTTAATACTTTTTCTCTGCGTCATTTCATTTTCTAACTCAATTTGTAAGTTAATTATATTTGTTTTCTTGGCATATATGGATTTCTTTGGTTGTTACCGACATCCGGGGAAAATTTCAAGTCAGCAGCACCTTCAGAAATATGTTTTCTGAGAAAAATGTTGACGTGTTCTATACTCATTTCCCGCACTGTATATATTGGGGGAAAATTGAAAAGATGGATGTGCTGTATACATTAGGTTTGGGTTAGAATGTAATTTTTGTTATATTCTGTGAACTACTGATGACATTTATTTCTAATTAAAAATAAAGTTAATTGGCGCTTTTTTCCATTATATAACAAAAATGTATATATATATTCGATAAATTTTTTTCAAATAATTGATTGAATACCCTGGTTTTCAGTAGTAACAAACATTTATTTTGACTAATTTTCAATTTTCTGGAATTTGTTTTATTTCATTTGAAATTTGAAATATTTCTTTATATTTAAATTTATTTGTGAAACTGGACATTATGAAGAATCTGAGAACATTCAAAAAATCTTCATAATTTTATGGGAACTTTACATAAAATATAGTTGTTTGCTGGAAATTTCAGTCGAAAGTGTGGTGCAGTTTAATGCAATTATTATTATTATTTTTAGTCCTTATTTCATTTATTTATTTTAAATATTTCCCAAGTGCTGTTTCACTGAAAGCATTTATTCAACATTTTTTAAAAGCAATAGCTTTAAAGAGGACCTATTATGCCCCTTTTTACAATACACAAAATAAGTCTGCCTCTAGAGTGTCTGTGTGTGTGTGTGTGTGTGTGTGTGAGAGAGAGAGGTTTCAGCTCAAATACCACACAGACGATGTTTTCTAACTCTTTTAAACGGACTCTTTTAGGCTTTTATCCTAATTGTGTTGTTTTGGTGACTGTCACTTTAAATTCAAATGAGATTGTGCTTTTTTTTTAGAGGAGGGCGGAGCCTGTGTGTCAGCATAGTGGCAGGTTGAAAAACAAGACTGACATCCTATGCTAATCAGGCATAGATGGTCACTACACTGAAAAAAAATTATTCAAAGATCATTCCTTGGATTTACTCATTTTTTACGTTAATTGGTTGTAAATAATTTATTTTTGTTGAATTTAAACAAACAAGTTGAACATTATTATTAAATTTAATTTGTTTAAATTCAACACAAATAAATTGTTTGCAACAGTTCTGCATGCAACAGTGTATTTCAGTGTAGTGGGCGGGGCTTTCCCCGTCTGATGACACGTACGAAGAGAGAATGTCAATCAAAGTGTTTCTGCAGACGGTTTATATCAAGTGTTTTGAGCGAGTTTTAATTCTATAATGTACTGTCTCTTTAAGATGCTCACCTGTTGGGGAAAGTGTTGGGCACCTGCACCACGTCTCCAATGGCCTCAGGGTTTGATCGGGCCACTTCACAGAGGTCCAGCTTCTTATAACACTCCTCCTGCACTTCAGCGATCATCTTCTGGAAGGTGGAGCAGCGCTTAATGGTCTGGAACACTTTGGAGGTGATGCCGTTGGCCATGCACTTGATGCTCTCTTTCACAAATGTTTTACCCTGCGGGAGAAAAAAGCAATGATTACACTTTTCTTTCTACATTGGCCAAACTTCCACTCCATTAGCGGGTAAACACTACAGTAAAGCTATTTGTGTTAATAATAATATTGGAAATATTATTACACCGATACGTTTACAAAAACAAGTAGCCTTCTATTCAATTAAATTCAATTCAGCTTTATTTGTATAGCGCTTTTACAATGTAGATTGTGTCAAAGCAGCTTCACATAAATGGTCATAGTAACTGGATCAGGGTAGTTCAGTTTTTAGTGTTTAAGTCCAGTTCAGTTTAGCTCAGTTCAGTGTGGTTTAAAATCATCACCGAAGAGCAAATGTATCCATGGGTAGCTCTACCGATCCCAAATGAATACCTCTGTGTTAAAAACAGCAGCTGTGTGGAGGAAGACGTTGCAGATCTCGTGCATGCCGTCGGTGTCGCAGGTGGAGTTTTCCAGACATGCGAAGGTCGCACAACCCACTTGCAGAGCGCCATTCAGACAGCGGGCAACATCAGCTGCATGGAGGACAAGACAGAGGTGCTTTATTTGATGTTCAATTTAAGGCAGTGGTTTTCAAACCACTTTTTAAGTACCACCTAAAAAAAAATTGTTCAAGTACCACCATAATGACCTGTATTGAAAAAAAAAGTAGCGTAGTTGGCTAAATTAAGCAGCTACCCCAGGTGAAAAAAATATATAATTAAATGCAATTAAAATACACTTAAATACCCGCAAATACATTTTTAGTACATTGTTATTTTTTGTGTTAAATAAAAGTTTGATGGTTTTACACTATTAATATACTAATTAAAAGTATGTTTATACTTCAGTAGGACTTTAGTACACTTGACAAAAGTATTCTAAATACCAGTAATACTTAAATCAAATTTTAGTGTACTAAAGTACAAAGTACACTACAGAAAAAAACATAGACTTTTATTAGTGTGTTTTTCAAAAGTGTGCTTTAAAAGCTTTAAACATTAACTAATCCTAAGTTTAAAATAAGTTAACATATAAATAATCTATTAGTAATGTATTGTAGTAGAGGTACATTTTCCCAAAAGTTGTACTTAAGTACACTTAATGAAAAGTTACTGTTTTGTGTCTTTACTTTTCATACATGTTGCATCTTATTTACATTTTGTGTTCTCAGTTTTTGCTAAGTTGTTGTTCCCTCCCATAAGGTATTTTTGGACTTGTGGTTTATTGCACAAAAATATTAAAGTGTTTTGATGAAGCACAGATGCTATTTTCTTTGTACACACAGAATCCCTTCAAAATATATTGTTTAAATAAATGTTTAGTTTGTTAAAAGCACATTTTAGATCAGCTTCATGGTGTCTCATAATAGCACAGTTGAGTACACTTAGATGTACTTAAGTTTATCTTAAAATGTACTTAATACTAATTTTTAGTACATTAATACAAAATTAGTTTGGGGAAATAGAGCCCTTTTAATACAGTATTTAGCACACTTTTTTTTTTTACAGTTTATATATTCTTTTAATATATTACTATTACACGTTAAATTAGTCATAAATATATTTAAATGTTTAAAAGTAGGGTTCAAGTGTATTTCTAGTTGTAACTAAACATATATTTTAAAATACAGATATAGTTTGTTAAAAGCACATTTTAGTTCAATTTCAGGGTGTCTCAAAAAAGCACAGTTGAGTGCACTTAGATGGTATTAAGTGTATCTTAACATATACCTAATACTATCTTTTAGTACATTAAGTACAAAATTAGTGTGCGAAAATAGAGCACTTTTAGTACAGTACTGAAAAGTGTACTAAGTATACTTTAAGTGTATTTTAGTGCACTTTTTTTTTTTACCTGGGCAGCACTGCACAGATCGGAAACGAAGCAGAGTCATTTTCATATTTATACCATTTTTGACAAATTTTTAAATATATGTTGCATGTACATATGACATATTTGTAAAACCTTTTAAAATCTAAACATTAACTTTGTTTGTAGATTGGTAGTTAACCAGTTTTTCTTAGATGATGGTAAGTTTTATTTATGGAGAAAATTAAAAAGCACTGCAGTGTTTGGGTGTTCTGTGTTTGTCTGAGATAACTAATCTCACGAAATTATATTCCATACAAAATATGAAGCTGATCAGTCGGTCCCATGACTCGTGGTGCGGCATTCTGAAAAGTTAAAATGTTTTCAACTGGGCACGCCTGGAATACGCAGGCGCATCGTGCTGCAGTTCTTACTCATTTTGCTAGCCTGTGGGTTAAATTTTGGGACCCAAGTGACTGAGATTAACGAATGCGGTAATTTTTCGAAATAACATTTTTTCAAAACTTATTATCGTTCAGACTCAGATAATAAATAAAATGGTAATAATTTAGGATTTTTTGTGCGGCCTGGTACCAAACCGATCTATAGACCGGTGCCGCTCTGTGTCAGGGTTGGGGACCACTGCTTTAGCACGTATCTGCTCTACAAGCACCACGGAGAGGCACGTGCACACATAGGGCTCAACCTGTGCAGTGCACATGCCCTTTTTAGTCTTGGATAGAAAGTGCCCTACTAAAATGATCTGAAGTGCCCCTGCTCCCCCCTTTCAGCAGCCGATGATGCGATGCACTAAAGTAAACATTCTAAGCACAGCACTTTGATCGTAGTCTTTAGAGAACAGCCAATGTTGATCACATCGGGGTTATCGTACACATCAGATGATAATAATAGTATTCATTTTTTCTTTCATTACTCCGTGTACCACTAGAAGTAAACCACTAGTGGCACATGTACCATAGTTTGAGAACCACTGATTTAAGGTTATCTAATATTTAATATCTTACACAATGGTGAAAGATCAAAGAGTCTACATTTGAACCAACACTCAAATAAAAAGCTGTCGCTGAGGCAGGATCTTTTCAAAAGGCACACATTTATATCTAAAAAGACTTTATCGGTTAGTCTCAAAAAATGACTTTTGCTGTTTGCTCAGTCGACATATTGATTATTGGGACAGGCCTACATGCTAGCAAATTATAAGGACAGTTTTGCGTAACACATTCAACAAAACATGAGCCATATTTATGGTTTATTATATTTTGAGACCGATTTGTTTGGGCCAAAAATTACAAGACAGCTCGATTATGAATCCAAACCTCCCTCTTAGCATACACAAAATATTTAAAGTATTAAATTAAATCAAATTATTATTATGTAAAACAAATAAATTATTGCAAAATATTAAAACCAAATTGAAATTCATTCATTCATTTTCCTTCAGCATACTTTCTATTTCAGAGGTCGTCACTGCGGAATAAGCCGTCAACTATTCTGGCATATGTTTTAAGCAGCGGACGCCCTTCCAGCTGCAACCCAGTACTGGGAAACACCCATACACTCCAGTTTACTCATACACTGCGGTCAATTTAGTTTATTCAATTCTCCTATAGCGCATGTGTGTGGACTGTGCGGCAAACCGGAGCACCCGGAGGAAACCCACGCCAACACGGGGAGAACATGCAAACTCCACACAAAAATGCCAACTGGTCCAGCTGGCACTCAAACTAGAGACCTTCTTGCTGTGAGGCCACAGTGCTTACCACTGAGCCACCGTGCTGCCCTTTTTTGCCCATCTATATTGTAAAAACCAAAGCAAATGGACGATTCTATAAAGAAAATAATACTTACAAGGGGTGTTGGATGAGAACCGTGCTCGTCTCGGTTGTGTGGATTCCTGAGTTGTGCAAAATGCACAAGCAGCCAAAACCACCAGCAAAAGAAATCCGCTTTTCAGGAGCATGTCTGCAACTTTACAACCAAAGCAGGAGATGTTTGCTGATTCTGAGGGTTTGTGCTGCAGCTTGAAGATGGGCTGAGCTTTATACTGATCTTCAGCTGAACTCGACAGCTCATAAATCACCGCCTTGACCAATCAGAACGAAGGAAACGAAAGCTCAAACTTTCCATCTCTTCATAAATATTCATGGGTTGATAATAATGCAGAACCACCTGCTATGATTTTATCTCCAGTTGGGCATTTCTGTGATTGCTGCAATTCAAACTTTTACAGTAGATACTTATTAAAAAAAACTGTCCATTTAAAACCATTAATCACCAACTACCATAACAATGTTTCTAATAATGACCTTGAATTATGTGTGGATTACATTATCAAATAACAAGAAAGATAAAGGATATTCCTTTCAAGCAGGTGAATCTCAATGGCTCCTTTGTGGAAAACCAATCAGTATGTTTGGTTTGGATTTCACGTCAAAGATATTTAGTTAATGCATATCTGTCGTATGTCATGTTCTTGGATGTAGTTTTAACCAACACCTGGCACAGATAAATGTGCTAAAGGTACGAGTGTTTTTTGTCATTATTAAAACAGACTAATGTAGCTTGCAGTGTTGGGGAAGCTGAAAATTTACTGTAGCTACTTATAAGTATAAATAGCAGCCAACTACAATTCTAAAAAAAGTATCTAGCTCCACTATAAGTTACTTCCTAAAAGTTGCTAGTTAGATTGAAGCTATTTTCACAGAAAGGCATACATTACAAAAGCGTGAATAAAAGTTACTTGAACGTAAACTGAACATAACTTGAACTTAAACTGGATAATCCTGAACATTAACCAAACATAGCCTGATAATAACTTGAACATAACCGAATGTAATGTGAACATAAACCGAACATAACCTGAATAATTCTGAACATTACCTCAGCATGAACTGAACATAACCTAAACATAGCTGAACATTATGCAAATAGCCTAAACATAAACTGAAAATAACCTGAATGTAAACTGAACATAACCTGAATATAAGTCAGACATAACCAAACACAAACCGTACATGAACTAAATTTAACCTAACCATAATCTGAACATACCTTGAACATAACCTGAACAATCGTGAACATAAACTGAACTTAACCGGAACATAAACTGCATATAACACAAACAAACTGAACATAATCTAAACATAGCTGAACATTATGCAAACAGTCTGAACATAAACGAAAAATAACCTGAACATAAGTCAAACATAACCAAACACAAACTGAACATAAATTAAATTGACCTTAAACATAAACTGAACATGATTTGAACATAACCTGAATAATTATAAAAAATAATCTGAACATAATCAGATCGTAGACTGAACATAACCTAAACATAAACTGAACATAACCAATACATAAACTGAATGTAACTTGAACATAAACCAAACATAACCAGAACAATAACCAGACATAAAATGAATATGACCTAAGCACAACCTGAGCATAAACTAAACATATACTATACATAAACTGAATGTAACCTTAACATAAACTGAACATAACAAAAACAACCTGAACATAACCTAAACAAACTGAACATAACATAACCTAAACATAAACAGAAAGTCACTAGAACATAACCTGAACATACCCCAAATATAACCTGAACATAACCTAAACATAAACTTAACATAAACTGAATGTAACATGAACATAAACCAAACATAACCAGAACATAAACCAGATATAAAATGAACATAACTTAAACACATCCTAAATATGAACTGAATGTAACCTAAACATAACCTGAGCATAAACTGAATGTAATCTGAACAAAAAACTGAAC